GAGTTTGTGTTATATCTCATATGAGACTTAATTTAAATAAACCTTTTTCTGTCTTATTATTGACATAAAACTTTATATACGGTATAAACTTATATGAGAGACAAATATGTAAATAAAGTTTATGACTATGAAGATGGTTATCCTGTAAATGCAGATCATATAAACACCATATCATCTAAGATAGACATCAAGAGTCGCGACTAAATACACTCTCAAATAACTCTTACCTCATGTCTGGCTATTTTGGACATCTCTTTCTTCAGTGATCGGAGTTTACTTAATGTGAGCTGAATATATGGGAACCGCTCTTTGAATTTGTCGTTCAATTCCTTCTTCAGATCCGTCGGCTTAACGTAATCTATGATTGAGGTCTATATACGAGTGGAGGGATAGAAACACATGAGTTAATTGAGTGTTAATTATGTTAATGCCATGAGATTATTGTATTTTCTACTCAATTATACAATGCATTAGAGAGTAATTAAATAAAATGTGAATTCATACATGTATGTAAAACTTTATCTAAACTCATTATGAAATATAAATTGAATTAAAATAAATAATTAACTTTCTGTTTATTTAATTGTTCAAAAACACATTTCAAGAGTTAAACTCAATTAATTGACTTTTGTTTAATTAAAGTTATATAATATTAAATAATTTATCGTTTTAACCAAAAACTGACCACAAATGATGGAAAAGCGAGAAGAGTGCTGTGTTTGCCGGCGATCAGCTCCGGATCGTCTAATAGGTTCGGGTGATAGACAATGGTGTGGTGGGCGTAGATCTGGTTCAATAGATTACGTTTCTCTTCGGCAGCGGTACAAGAACTCTCGTTACCGGCGGACACACTCTGAGACATATTCACCGGATTCTGAATGCATTGAACCGATTTGATGGCCGACTCGTGCGATATAACTCGCGTCACCAGATTGTGAGCGAAAGCGGGCAACGAGACTATAATTTTATTATTTTATAGATCATAACCGAACCGATCGATCAAATTATCAATTCTTGTCAACAAATTTCATTGTGGTTTTTGTTCAGTAAAACTATTTTGTATTTTATATAATATATAAATTTAAACTTAAATATTATAATCAATTTTTTAATAAATAATAATAATAAAGACTTAAGTAATAAAAAACACATGACTTTTCATACTCTTAAACCGATTAATACATTATAGAATATACTGTACTTTATAGACATCTTTTTATAATAATAATTATAATAATATTGTTTTATAATAATAATTGTCTTAGAATTTGATTCTTTACGTAAAATTCAATATTTTTTAAAAATAACTTAAAATATAAGAAAAATTATAAATAAGAAAAATGAGTTTAAAAAACAAATATTGGATACAAACATGAATTCCACATATCATTTAAAAGTGAGTTAATAATCATTATAATAATATAATAGCAATAATGATAAATATAGTTATCAATTATATGAAGAATATACTGTATTTGACAAATTATTTTGTCGTTATTAAAGTTACAAATAATTAACTTTTGTGTTAAATATATAAATAAATTGATTTATATATGTATTTGTGCTCCGATTTACACACTATAAAACAGTTATCATTTTGATTTCCATATAATAAATATATTTATATCTGTTAATGTAATGTTTTTGATTCATTCAAATACTAAGTAATTATAAGTTAATATATCAATAGTAGAAGAAAGTGCACAACAAAAATATATTCTCAAATAATTGTAATAAATAATAGCAATAATTAGTCGTCGGATGACATCGGCTGAAGAACGGCACAGACAAACCACAACGTGTGTCGAGCGGTGCCTATCGGACAACTGGTTGTATCGTTAAATATACGAGTTTTTGTTTGGTGTGAAATATACAGAATATTCTTCACATTCTTCTTGTATATCATTATAATAATAGCGGTTATGATTCGTATAGAAGACGCTGAAAGTGGGGAATGATTTCCTTGTTTGGCAAATGTAGTGAAAACTCTAACGCAACCAATACTGAGAACTCCATCGAAATGAGCTCTTTTCGGTTGAGCCGAAAGCCAGACTCTATTCGCTAAAAGAGAAATAAAAAACACACAATAAAATCAAAACTCAGTTATAAAAAACTCGTTAAAAGTAATTTTGTTAAAAGTGTTTTAGTGTTAATGTAATGTATAATATAGTATATACGGAAAAATAGGCGCTCAAACAAATCAATAAGAAAAAGTTATTGTTAAGAAGTTTTTTATGTTTGTGTTTTATTTGATGGATGACTGTTGGATGTATTGTCTGGACTCATATGGCAGACACAGTGGTGTGACAGTAGATAACAAGCGCGAAGTCATACCTCAATCAATGTCTTGAGATCGACTCCCTTAACGTCGTTGAGTTTGGCGGACAGTATAAGACAAGCGCCGGCACACAGTTTGCGGTTCTGTTTACTGATCAACGATTTCAGTATCAGTTTCTCGAAGTATACGTACGCCTGAGCTATAGTCAGGAAATCGATTCCGCACTACAATTACAGACACAAAGACAAGCGCCGGCACACAGTTTGCGGTTCTGTTTACTGATCAACGATTTCAGTATCAGTTTCTCGAAGTATACGTACGCCTGAGCTATAGTCAGGAAATCGATTCCGCACTACAATTACAGACACAACAAACAAATATCAATATTTATGTAACAATTGATTCAATTTATGTATTAATGCAGTGGAAAATATTTATGTAATTCTGGTTACAATATATGTTTGCAAAAACAATACCAAACAATAGGACAGGTTTTTTAGTTTGAATGGAAAATCGAAATCAATAGAAATAATAGTAAACAAAATTTGTGTTCATTTATTTGACAGAAAAAATTATTTTGAAGAGAGAGAGAGAGAGAGAGAGAGAGAGAGAGAGAGATTACTAAAATGTTTTTACGTTAAAAACGGCTAAATATGAAGTTATATTACGTGAACATATAATGCAATCAAAAAAGTATGTGTTAAGAAATAAAAAGACAAGCGCCGGCACACAGTTTGCGGTTCTGTTTACTGATCAACGATTTCAGTATCAGTTTCTCGAAGTATACGTACGCCTGAGCTATAGTCAGGAAATCGATTCCGCACTACAATTACAGACACGACAAACAAATATCACTATTTATGTAACAATTGATTCAATTTATGTATTAATGCAGTGGAAAATATTTATATAATTCTGGTTACAATATATGTCTGCAAAAACAATACGAAACAATAGGACAGGTTTTTTAGTTTGAATAGAAAATCCAAATCAATAGTAATAACAATAAACAAAATTTGTGTTCATTTATTTGACAGAAAAAATTATTTTGAAGAGAGAGAGAGAGAGAGAGAGAGAGAGAGGGCTTTTATATTAAAAAGTAAGTTCATGTGTGGGGCAAAGAAGACATACATAAAAATCAAACATTTAATTCAGAAATATTTGAATATTTTATTTTCTCTCTAAAGACATACAACTATTTCTAAGACAGGGATCGATATATAAAAGACAAAAAACACGACATAAAGTTAAAGTAAAGCCCAAACTCCCAGACAGTGAACGCTAAACACTACAGACACTGAATAGATTCCTTCGAAACACATGAATAAATATCAATAAAAGTGTATAACAAATGTTGACTTAAACTGAAGAGTTTGTGTTATATCTCATATGAGACTTAATTTAAATAAACCTTTTTCTGTCTTATTATTGACATAAAACTTTATATACGGTATAAACTTATATGAGAGACAAATATGTAAATAAAGTTTATGACTGTGAAGATGGTTATCCTGTAAATGCAGATCATATAAACACCATATCATAAGATAGACATCAAGTGTCGCGATTAAACACACTCTCAAATCACTCTTACCTCATGTCTGGCTATTTTGGACATCTCTTTCTTCAGTGATCGGAGTTTACTTAACGTGAGCTGAATATATGGGAACCGCTCTTTGAATTTGTCGTTCAACTCCTTCTTCAGATCCGTCGGCTTAACGTAGTCTATGATTGAGGTCTATATACGAGTGGAGGGATATAAACACATGAGTTAATTGAGTGTTAATTATGTTAATGCCATGAGATTATTGTATTTTCTACTCAATTATACAATGCATTAGAGAGTAATTAAATAAAATGTGAATTCATACATGTATGTAAAACTTTATCTAAACTCATTATGAAATATAAATTGGATTAAAATAAATAATTAACTTTCTGTTCATTTAATTGTTCAAAAACACATTTCAAGAGTTGACTCAATTAATTGACTTTTGTTTAATTAAAGTTATATAATATTAATATCAAATACTCTATCGTTTTAACCAAAAACTGACCACAAATGATGGAAAAGCGAGAAGAGTGCTGTGTTTGCCGGCGATCAGTTCCGGATCGTCCAATAGGTTCGGGTGATAGACAATGGTGTGGTGGGCGTAGATCTGATTCAATAGATTACGTTTCTCTTCGCCAGCCGTACCGGAACTCTCGTTACCGGCGGACACACTCTGAGACATATTCACCGGATTCTGAATGCATTGAACCGATTTGATGGCCGACTCGTGCGATATAACTCGCGTCACCAGATTGTGAGCGAAAGCGGGCAACG